AAACTAGCATGAAACTTACATTAAGAATAGAAACTTCGACAAATCCCATATTTGCCAACATGCCTGGAACAACGAGTACAGAGTACAATGGAAAAAGAGTACAATAATCATGAAGAAAAAACAGTCATGAAAACGAGAAAAGTCAAAGAAGCAGCTCTTATTCTACTAGTCCTAAAAGGGCATCTTGTTTCTAATACTTAATTTTTAATATTCTTGTTGTTTGATTTGCGATATAAAGCAAGCGTATCGATAACGTAAACAAAGAATTTTGGAACTAAAAGAGTTCTCTGGAGATCGAATTATTCTAAACCTCTCCAAAAGTCTTTTCTACGTACCGTAGCTTACGGCACTTTTTCGTCTTATTTCGCTTTAAAAATTTTACAACAGTTAGCCACTTTCCTACTGCCTCAACTGCTCTAACGCCACATTTTCTATATTGACAACGGTTTATTAGGAAGTGAATATCTTTTATCTACTCACTCTCTTTAATTGTAGCTCCTTCAGATTTTGAAGTTCGATGGGTTTTCCGCTGGGCAAATGAGCCAGCAACCACCCCGGTCTAATTCAAGGCTTTTGCTCATCTATTTTCACATGTTTGACAAAAAGGGACCTTTCATTATTAAAATGCTAGGTCTAAAAGGGGACCACACGACTGATGCCTTTTCTTATTCTTCGTGTTCCTTGGACAAACCTTGTAGAGAGCAGGTTATTCGTTCGAAAATCACTTGTATTTTTTTTCTATCCACTTTGTTTTATTTTTTTTATTTTCATTTTTTATGTTGCTACCCAAACGTCTGCTACTAAAGCTATGAAACATGTGAACAGATACAACAAACAAGACCATCTATCGCAAGATTGAAATTTTTGCAGCCGTATTACTGACTGATCTTGTCACTTTTGTTAAAGTGAAGCTCGTTCAAACTTTATGTTTGGTCTAAATCGACAAGATTGAAGCTCTTGGCAGCCGTATTGCTGGCTGATCTAGTCACTTTTGTCTCTAATATTTATTTTTATCGGATTCGACGATCGCGCTCACTTGAGTTAATTCTTCTACCCATAAATTGCCAATCGTATTAGACACATACAAGAACTGAGATCACGCTCTTCTCGACATTTTTTTTAAGCCCTTTTCTTTATTCAGATTGCCGAATATAGGCATCTCCTAATTCTCGCCATTTATCTCTGTTGTTTGTAAAATGTTTCCACATTGGCCCTTCAGTTTTTTTAATATCGTCGCTTCATCGCATTGCGGTCTTCCTCGTATTCTTTTGGCCTTATATGGCCGCCAATTCCCGCATTCTTTATTTGATTGGTCATCCGTAATAAGTTCGTTATGTCCAGCCCATTTCCATTTCAGTTTAGCTGCCTGTTTGATAGCATCTTTTACTTTTGTTCTATTACGAATGTCTTCATGGGTTTTATGGTCTTTAAGTGAGATACCCAGCATCTGTCGTTCCATAGCTCTCTGAGTTTTCTTCTCCATGTTTATTTTAGTGAATGTCCAGCTTTGAGCACCATATGTACGCACAGGTAGGATACAGAAATTAAACACTTTGGTTCGCAGTCTTTGAGGTATATTTTTATTTTTAAGTACGTATGAGAGTCTTCCGAATGCTGCCCATCCCATTTTTACACGTCTGCTTATTTCGGTAGTCTGATTTTCTTTACTTACCTTGACATTTTGACCCAGATATATATGTTCATCTATGTCATTATAAGCCTTTTAATTAAAACCATTTTGATTATGCTAGTCGTGTTTTAACAGCTGCACAGTTTAAAAGCCCTTCAGATACTTAAATCTCCCAAGAGGGTCTCTTGTATCACCCCTATCATACGGAATAGGCCCATAAGAACCTAGTCTTTAAAGTTTTTAGGGTTCAAGCTGTTCCCGGCTCCCATATTTACAGTTAATATGGGTTGTCAGGGTCTGAACGTCTAATCCTTTAGTAACCTTGTGGCCTCATAGAAAGCCACAAGTCTCCTTAAGTGTAACTCTCATTTGGCTCGGTTACATTAAGATCAAACCCAGGATCTGCCACCTCTGATAGCCCAGTGCCGGGCACTTCCAGAGTGCATTAGACGAGGTTTCGTTATATAGACGACACCGTCGACTATCAGCCAATCCAAGCAGATACTTGGATTGGCGGATAGTATGCTTAGCGGCCACTGTAGACCGCCTTTGTCTACAGTGGCCGCTAAGCATACTGACAACCACACAGCAGAGCCTAGAAGGAGAAGTTGGTCGGTAAGACTTTTGAATGACCCCACTTTGTGGACCCTAGCCTATCTCGTGCCTCCAAAACTTGCCCAGAAGTGCTGGAGCCTCCGAAGAAGAAGCTCTTTGAGACTACCTGGACCAGGACTGAAGGGCACGCCAATCACAGGTTCACATCCCACCGGCAGAGTGAATGAGCCCTATCGTGCCAGGGCATCAGCCTGTTCGTTCCATTCCACGCCTGTATGTCTCGGTACTCATTCCAAGGTAACCTTATTGGTCCGCTCAACATCAAGAAGTGCTTTCTTGCAGAAAAGAACCAGATTAGAGTTGACATTGGGTGCTTCCAAAGCCCTTAGCTTTGCTTGACTGCCATCTCTTGATGGATTATCTCTGGCTCTGGATCCATGAAACATTGAACACATTGGCTGGAAGTAAATTATTTTCTACTTTGGATTTTAAGTCTGGATACTGGCAGGTAGAAATGGACTCGGTAGATAAAGAAAAGACAGCCTTCACCACAGGATCGGGATTATGGCAATTCAACGTTATGCCATTTGGACTCTGTAATGCTCCTGCAACATTTGAGAGGTTTATAGAAAATGTGTTGAGAGGGTTATCTTGGAAAACATGCCTAGTTTATCTAGATGATATAATCGTCTTGGGGAAGACATTGGAAGATCATTTGAGGAATTTAGAAAACGTTTTTAATCAAGTGAGAAGTTTTCTTGGACTCTGTACTTATTCCCGGGAAGTCTATTAAGAAGTTTGCAGATATCGCTAAACCATTAACGCGACTTACAGAGGAAGCAAGGGAATACCGCTGGGATGTAGACTGCCAAAATGCCTTTGAGACCTTAAAAAAGCATTTATTCACAGCACCAACTTTAGGATATCAACTGCCAGAAGGAGAGTTCATCTTAGATACAGATGCAAGTAATGTGGGCATTGGAGAAGTGCTGTCTCAGCCTGAGTATGAAGAAAACAAGAACTACGGCTTATCATCCGCAATCGGATGGTATGGTAGAACGAATGAATAGGACAGTTGGCAAGTATTTGACAAAGATGGTTTCCGATCATCAGCGAGACTGGGACCAATATCTTCCGTTCTTCACAATGGCCTACAGATCTGCTGTTAACGAATCGACAGGCCAGACACCAGCCAGAGTCCTATTCGGACGCGAGATACGACTAAATTGTGATCTAGAGTTTGGGTGTCGACGTGGAGTAGATGTAGCAGGTGAAGATTATGTGATCGAATTACGAAGAAGAATGGACGATGTACACGAGTTGGTCCGTTCCCATCTCCAGATCGCTAGTGACCGAATGAAGAAACGGTACGATACGCAAGCCGAAAAGGGGTGTTTTAAGAAGAACGACAGAGTCTGGTTTTATAATCCCAAAAAGCGAAAAGGTTGTTCTCCCAAGTTACAGCAGTTTTGGGAGGGTCCATACCTCATTATGGAAAGGATCAATGATGTCATTTACCGAATAAGCAAGATTCCGAGGGAAAAGCCGATGATAGTACACCATAAACGGCTGGCGTCTTTCGAAGGTGACCACGACGTAGATGAAGAAGGGGGAAGTAAACCAAGTCCAAGATATATCTGACCTCACGTTTAAGGAATTCATGGGTGCCTATGGAGGTACCGGTAAAGCAAGACATGGTGTTACCACTGAAGAAAGGCAAGATCTACTCGCGCTTCCCGATGACTACTCACTGGCCCTTACCATCCCGCCAGTTTCAAAGACGCACCAGGGTTGGCATCCGTCTTTCGAAGGAAGTTCGGTCGAGTTGCAGAACTTCAATGCCAAGTGCCAGCTCCCGGAAAAGCCTTGAAACTCCAAGATGCATCACGTTATCTTTTCTACCTGGTAACAAAAGACACTGCCTGTGACCAACCTACCTATCGAGATGTATGGGAAGCCTTACTTCAGTTGAGGGAGCACGTACTAGACTCAGACGTACAAAAGTTAGCCATGCCAAAGTTAGAGTGCCGACAATTAGATTGGAGGGTTATTCGAAGTATGGTGGAGGAGATCTTTAGAGACACCGAAGTCCAGGTGTTAGTCTGTAGCAATCCGCATAGTTATTGGTGCAGAGAGAAAACCGTCCCTTGTCAGTTTTATAAAACTGGAAGTTGTAAAAGAGGGTCCAGTTGCCGATAAGAGCATGCCGTTCCAGTTCCAGTCCCGACAAGGTTCCAGGAGGTACTATCTTTTAAGAGGGGGGCAATGTTACGAGTTTAAATATTATGACGTATAAAAACTAAATATATTTACTCATTCACGAATGTTCTAGGTCAGATATACCGATAGACTACCGAATTCTACAAAAAGGATCGGATAACCGGTTCAGTTACTAAGAATGCCGTCGCTGGCGATTCTTTGAATTTACCAGAATGCGATTGACTTTTCGAGACCCGCTGGATGAGTCACCTACTGGATGTTACGTCATCGGTGCATCCCCACACTTTTCGAGATAGCGGCATTTTATATATATAAATACCATGAATTTTATTGAGGGAGTTAGTCAAAAAAAAGATCGCGGATATCGGGTTAAAATTGTATCGAACGCATATAAATTATTTGTAATTATTAAGTGTAAAATAAATTAGTATAAAATAAAGACTTTTGATAAATTATCGTGAGTTTTAATAAATTAGAATACAGACAATAAATTAGGACTAATAAAATCATTATAATGTATACAAAATAATATATATAAGTACTAATAATAATATACCAGAATTTATTAACTTAACACACTCATTTCTATTCTACATAATTACATAATTTTTTATGAACATTTGCTTAGTGTATTTTTATAGTTATTTTTAATACCTTTGTAATATGAAATTTTATATGTAATGTAACAGTAAGTTTACTGCAGATGAAGTTTTTGAAATCCTATATTTTCATACTGTTTTTACTTTGCTTATACCCATTTTCAAGATTTTTTATATAATCTAAAAAAATCATTCGTAAATTTTTTTACTATTTAACAAATTTATTTCTCTTTCGAATCTCACCTTTTATAAAATCCTTGTCATTGGGATTTCGCTCCAATACCTCTCTTATATCTCGTTCATATTCTTCTTTATTGTTTTGCAAAAAATGTATCTTTATCAACAACAACCATGACTTCAGACAATCTTCATTTAGTCGTAGAGCCAGCTTCAAATCTTGTTGAGCTTTTTCGTAGAATTTAAGATTAAGGTAGGTTAGTGCTCTGTTGTTATATAATAGTACACTGTCTTTAATTTGTTCAATAGCCTAAAAAAAATCACTTCATTAATTTCTCCTTAGTGCAAATATTTGTTTAACGCAATGATATAATTTTAATTATTTTTATACAGGTCTTTTTCATTTGGGATTAAAAAGAATTAAGACATTTAGCAACCATTAACAACCTAAAACCAATACCTTTTTCTGCAAAACGATTCATCATAGTTTATAAAAATATGAAAAACTTCATGAAATAAATAAAAGGTACGAAGTTCTAAAAAGAGAGCAACATCTATTAAGACAATTTTTGGTTTCTACAATGATATTAATAGCTTAATCGAAGAAATTAAAAGCAAACAAAACTGACCCAACCCAAGACGTATATAAAGTGCATCTACTCCAAGAAAAAGCATGAGAAATATATATATATATATATATAAATATATATATAATATATAATTAATATATATATATATATAAATATATATATATATATATATATATATATATATATATATCCCATACATCTCGATAGGTAGGTTGGTCACGGGCAGTGTCTTTTGTTACCAGATAGAAAAGGTAATGTGATGCATCTTGGAGTTTCAAGGCTTTTCCGGGAGCTGGCACTTGGCATTGAAGTTCTGCAACTCGACCGAACTTCCTTCGAAAGACGGATGCCAACCCTGGTGCGTCTTTGATACTGGCCGGGATGGTAAGGGCCAGTGAGTAGTCGTCGGGAAGCGCGAGTAGATCTTGCCTTTCTTCAGTGTTAGCACCATGTCTTGTTTTACCGGTACCTCCATAGGCACCCATGAATTCCTCAAACGTAAGGTCGGATATATCTTGGACTTGGTTTACTTCCACTTCTTCATCTACGTCGTGGTCACCTTCGAAAGACGCCAGCCGGTTATGGTGTACTATCATCGGCTTTCCCCTCGGAATCTTGCTTATTCGGTAAATGACATCATTGATGCTTTCAATAATGAGGTATGGACCCTCCCAAAACTGCTGTAACTTGGGAGAACAACCTTTTCGCTTTTTGGGATTATAAAACCAGACTTTGTCGTTCTCCTTAAAACACCCCTTTTCGGCTTGCGTATCGTACTGTTTCTTCATTCGGTCACTAGCGATCTGGAGACGGGAACGGACCAACTCGTGTACATCGTCCATTCTTCTTCGTAATTCGCTCACATAATCTTCACCTGCTACATCTTCTCCAGGTCGACACCCAAACTCTAGATCACAATTTAGTCGTATCTCGCGTCCGAATAGGACTCTGGCTGGTATCTGGCCTGTCAATTCGTTAACAGCAGAATTGTAGGCCATTGTGAAGAACGGAAGGTATTGGTCCCAGTCTCGCTGATGATCGGACACCATCTTTGTCAAATACTTGCCAACTGTCCTATTCATTCGTTCTACCATACCATCCGATTGCGGATGATAGGCCGTAGTTCTTGTTTTCTTCATACCCAATCTATCACAGATTCCTTGTAATAGATCGCTTTCGAAGTTCCTGCCTTGGTCACTATGGATCTAGTAGGTCACTAAGTACCAACATGTACTTGCTCCATTATTACTTTCAGGAAATGGCCCAGCAATGTCCAAAGCTATTCTTTCAAACGGGCTTCCAACATTATATTGTCTCATAGGAGCTCTCCTTTTTGGATAAGGCCCGTTACTCGTAGCACAAATAGTACATTTCTTACACCAGTCTTTTACATAGTCGGAACTGTTCATCCAATAAAACCGTTCCCGAATTCGCTGAAGGATCTTCTTCACACCAAAATGCCCTCCTGATGGACTGTCGTGTAACTGACGAAGTACTTCGGCTATTCTGCTCTTTGGGATTACCAACTGTCTTTTCTTCTCTGAACCGTCGTCATTTTCCAGGACTCGTTTGAGCAAGCCATCTTTAATGATAAATGAGTCCCACTGGGCCCAATACGTCTTAACTGCTGAGCCTAGGTTTGATATTTCTTGCCAAGGTGGTCAACGGTTCTCCTCTTTCCATTTTCGGATTTTCTGTATAACTGGATCTCTCTCTTGTTCTTCCCTGATCTTGGTAGGCGTCCAGTCGTCGTTGATCACCGTCGTTCTTAGCACTGCTGCTTCCTTTGATTCCGTTTTGTTGCAGTAGGAACACTCTGCTGGGCATGGCCTTCTGGAAAAAGAATCAGCGTTTCGGTGGCTAACTCCGGCCCGGTGCTCAATCTTGAAATCATATTCTTGGAGTCGTTCGATCCACCTGGCTATCTGACCCTCTGGATTCTTAAACTGCATCAACCACTTAGGGGAGGCATGGTCGGTTCGGATTACAAACTTCCTTCCATACAGGTGTTGATAGAAGTGCTCTACTGATTTCACTACTGCCAGAAGTTCTCTTCTCGTGGCGCAATAATTCCGCTCAGGTTTTGAGAGAACTTTACTAAAATACCCAAGGACTCTTTCCTGTCCTCCTTGAATCTGAGACAGCACTTCTCCAATGCCCACATTACTTGCATCTGTATCTAAAATGAACTCTCCTTCTGGCAGTGGATACCCTAAAATTGGTTCTGTGATTAAATGCTTTTTTAATGTCTCAAAGGCATTTTGTCAGTCTACATCCCAGCGGTATTCCCTTGCTTCCTCTGTAAGTCGCGTTAATGGTTTAGCGATTCTCAAAGAATAAGTTTGTAAGCACTTTTAGAATTATCTTTATTATAATTATCAGGAAACACACATTTCAGTGTATAATTCAGACAATATTTAAATTTAAATTTAAAACAACCTATCTTTAAACTGAAGTTCTTATTACAATAATTAAATTAAACTAACAAAATTTGGTACCATTCTGTCACTGAATGCCTAAATGAAATTGTTTTCCAAAATAAAGGTTTTAATCGCCACTCAATTTCCCGGTTATCAGCCTCTGGTTACCCTTCTTTTTATGAAATCGCTTCCCAAAATAGACCAAAATGCTTCAATTAGCAGCTTCCACCACCATTTCCAATTATTTTTCTTATTATTAACATTTATCGTTGAGTAAAATATTCTTTCTTCTTTACTTGATTGACTTTTAACTATTAATAATTTATATATTACTGTTTGCTTGCTTTATTTTCTATAAAAATTTAACAAAAAAACTTGACTTTTCCCAAAATGAATTGTTCCAATTTGACTTCTCAATAATTAATTTTCTTTCTACTAACCTTTTAAACTCCCATAAATAATATAATTTTTTAATCTCTTCCTACGCTCGAAGTGACAGCGTATTTATAGATATTTTAATGTTCGCGAATATTCTCGAAAGAAAAGAGGTAAGATTCTTCTATTTTGTAGATATTTCAATGTTCGCGAAAATTCTCAAACTAAAAGAGGTTAGATTCTTTATATTTAGACTTTTTTAACGTCTTATTTTTAAACTTCTAGAGAGTTCTTTACTTTTCTATTGAGAATTTTATGGAAATTTAGGCTTTTTCAGATCAGAGTGTAAACTTATATATAAATTAAACATCTTAAATTAGTAAATAACACTATTTTAATCCATAATTTCAAATGTCAATTATTTCAAATGTCAACTTTCTGTTCAATTTCACCTGGATTCACTGTCCCATATCCCTTTTATTAACAAAATGTCCCAATATAACAAATTTACTCATAATCTATTTATAATATCATAACTATAAAAATAACCAAATACATTGCAAACTAAAAACTTTTTAAACGAACTATTTTGCTAATTTCTTAAGGATGCCCTCATATAAATACTTTTTATAATATTCTCTAGTATATAACTTATAAATTGCGTCTTTAATCGCCATTTAAGTTCATTCTAGGTTTCTAAACATTTTGATTACCTTCCTTTCCCCGATATTTATTATTCTCTCTCTCTCTCTCTCTCTCTCTCTCTCTTTATATATATATATATATATATATATAATAAATAAATATAAAATATATAAAATATACAACACAAACCATACATACTCTCAATATATACAATATGCATTTTACATGAATTTTCAATAAACGTATGGTCTGGAACCATTGGTAAGTAGTTTTTACGGACATGCGAATTACTTTGTAATTTAAATGGTGAGATTTATTTACACTTTTTATAAAATGATTTATTGGAAGAATTGTCATCAAACTTAGGGCAAAATATGTAGTTTATACAAGATGGTACACTACCACATTATAGAGAGAGGGCAGTGAGACCCTACTTAAATACAACTTTCCTGGACGTTGGATTGTTCATGGTAGTCATATTCCTTGGTCATGTGGTGAGATATTAATATAATTATTTAATTCATAAAGAATCCCAAAAGAGTACTTAATAATATACTCATAATACTTATATAAATACTGCGGCAGTTTCTTTAGAACCAATGATACTATTTAATATGAGACGATCTTTTATGGAATGTATTGACAAATGAATTAAAGAAAATGGTGGACATATCGAATACTAACTTTGACAAAAAGTTTAATGTTATTTAGTTTAACTATTTCTTAATTTGGTTTGTAAATAAAATGTTTTGGTTATGAGTTTAATTTAATATAAAACGTATATTTATATTATTTATTATTTCGTTAAGTATTAACTTTATTAAAGGCATTTTATATAAAAATTCAGAAGTATTGATGTTTTTGTTTAATTTTCTTTCGTTGGCTTGAGTAATTGCATTAAATATGAATTATGTAGTTGATTTGTAAAATGCCATTATCTCGAAAACTGTTGTGTTTTGAAATAACTAAGATATACTCGTTAATATCTTTTTTGTTTAAATAATGTATCTTTAATATTTTTATCACAAACGACGGTAACTTAAAGGGCAAAAAAGTAAAGTGCAAATGTGTGCCACCTATGTGGCATATTGGGCGCATTCTATCAGCTACATTAAAGTGTGCATCAAATTATAATTTCTTATGTTCAGTAGTGCCCAGTTATGAATTTTGATAGATAAATGTTCACAAACATGAAAGTTATAGCGAAAATTAAAATTTTAAATTTCCACTTTAACACCCTGTATCTTTCTTAATATCAACATTTTATTAAAGCAATTTGG